AGAAATTTAGTCCTGTGGGGTAGTTGAATGGAGAGACACAACAGATCTGCTGATTGGATGGTCTTGATCTTAGAGACAAAAAACTCCATAAGGCCCTCATACTTGCTGGTGAAGTTGCAAAAGACAGGAAAGGGAATAACGTGGATGGGTTGTCTAGAAAACTAACCCAGGCATTATCTTTGTATTCCAGGAATAGTGAGCCGTTTTAGTGGACAAGAATAGACCTGATAGTCCTCTATGTGGACCAACAAAACTTGGAAATAAATTACAAAGCCAGTTGTTCTGAATATCTGTTCAAGTCTGCATCCATTGGACCTTACAGAGTCGAATTGAGAACCTAGGCAGGGAATGACTTCAGTGAGAGTAGCAAAGTTTTAATGGGGACAAGAATTTCAAAAGCATACATAAAGGTTTGTTTGACCAAACCATGAGCTGCAGAACTATTATGGGGAATGGGGTGGCTGAACCCTTCTCATTTACCAGTATGTTGCCAGGCATGGAAGGTTTGAGTTATAAAGAAAGGCTGGATAGGCTAGGACTTTTTTCACTGGAGCATAGGAGGTTGAAGGGTGACCTGATAGAAGTTTATAAAATAATGAGAGGTATATGTAGAATTGATGGTAGTTGTCTGTTCCCTAGGGGCCACATTTTTAAAAGGTGAGAGGAGAGAGATTTAAAAAAGACATGAGGCAACTTTTTTTTTGAAACACAGAGGGTAGTTTGCATGTGGAATGAACTTCTTGATGAAGTGGTGGATGCGGGGACAGGGATATATGAATTGGAAAGGTTTGGAGGGATTTGGGCCAGGAGCAGGCAGGTGGAACTAGTTTAATTTGGGATTATTTTCAGCATGGACTGGTTGGACTGAAGGGTCTATTTCCGTGCTGTATGACTCTGTTTGGGATTTTGAAATTACTGCAATAAGTGAATTGGAGGATTGCTTTTCAGTGTTGGGGTGGTGAGACACAGAAGAAAGCAAGGTTTAGATAGGTAGAGGGTGATGAAAGGAATTGAACAGAGAGGGCCTTTTCTGTAATTCATACAATGGGAGTAGCAATGCAATTTAAATGGCAATGGGGTAGTTGTGAATATAGTTTGGGGAGATTACATAGAGAGGTACAGAGAGAATAAGACGGCAACGAATTCAGAAGAGAGAAAGATCAGAAAATTGGTGCAGATACTGAGGGATGACAGTAATGATGATAACTCGATGAGAACATTTTAAATCATACTTGGATGGGAGATACAGAGCATGGATTTTAAAAGAGAGGTGAGAGGGATGTAGAAAGATGAGAAGCTCAAAAGGAAGAGGAAGTGCCAGAGTAGTAGAACAATAAACCAAAGTGTGATTTGATAATCTGCGCCTTACTGCCATTGCAACTGTCTGGGCAAATAAAGTGGTGGATTGTATTGCCTGGCAAGGAGGCTTAATTTAGGGAAAGATGTCATCACCCCTTAGCTAGGATTCAACTAAGGCCAATCATCATATATTAGTTAATTAATGTCAAAGGCTTGTTCGTATATGGAAAAAACAAATATTCTGGAAGGAGATGTAGAGAGAGGAGTTAGGAATTAATTTATGGGGTGTATGATTCCTCCCTCTACTTTAGTCCTATGGTTTATAAGGTGAATGATTCCTCTCCATTACCTTGATTTCTTGAACAGGTGGAACAATTGATCAGCTGTCTCTTTGACTCCCTGGCTCCTCAGAGTATTCACCAGATCATGCTACAAGATTCCTAACCTGCTGCAGTAACAATATTTGCATTGTCACCTCCACAGCTCCAATTAGAAGGCAACAACTGGTTCTATTTTAAAGAGCGGTACAACGAAAAGCAATTTAGAAATACCTCTATATTTTGTTTTTCTTTTTACATGTTTGAATTGGCTTTCCCTATTTATTATTCTGTAATCACTCATCTACTGTGTAGTGAAATAAGCCTGATAGATGAGCTTAGACTACAGTTGACTAGCACTGCTTACTTTTTAAGAGTGAGATCTGAATAAATTTTTTTGGACATTTTCTATTGAATCTTCTTTCATTTCTATTCCTGCTGGTAACTCCCCATAGTTCCCTGCAGATATGTTATAGATAAAGCTCTGCCTCCTCCTCAGCTACTGGCAATGTGAATTCAGGCTGGCTGACAAAACAATGTTCAGCAAGCAGTGTGAGCTACCTAGTGTAACACAGCCAGCTCAACTGTTTAATTTGGAGACGTGACTAACAATTAGTAAATGATTTAAACATGCAGCTATATAGGTCCCAAAGCTACAGCCCACAGCACCATTAAGAATCGATGTTATGATATTCAACTTATCTCTAGCAAAGCAGAGATGTGAATCCAATTAAAAGCAGGACCAGCAAGCTGTTAGTGCTTAGACTCCTTCAGGGAAACACCCATACAGAGATTCAAGCAGTGCCAGCCAATTCCTTTAGGAGAAAACAAGCATTTCTTCTTCAGCTCAATTCTAGCATCTATGTTAGCTCATGACCCCAGTCTCAAAATAGAAGAATAGTCAGCATCTCTCTATTCAAAATAAGTCACACTGGAAACAAACGTTAGCAATTGGTTAGATCATCTGCGCCATACAAATTTAACACTGCCCATGGGGGTTAAGATATAGGAATTTAATCAGCAGTAGAGATTCCACCTGTAATAACAGCCTCAAAATGTCAAAGTTTTATCAAAGTTCCATTTTACAGATACGTTTCTTATGAACTTGTTTTAGTTGTATTTATTCAGAGTTTATGTTATGCTTCCAATTTAATATCCAAATGAAATGACCTGTTAAATATATATTTAAATATTACCATGTAATTAATTTGTCTTCCACCTATTGCCAACTTAGGAGTGAAATAAATCTTAGCATGGTGCTTTGTACAGTGTGCTAGTTTCATTCCAATCCATTAATGTTTCTGAACATAATCACGTTTGGTTTGACCTGTCTAATGCAGCTCTTGCTTTGGTCAATACTGGTTTTTTAGCGATTCTGCAATTATTGAGTTGTAATTGCAGAAGGTGTGAATTTGTCTGGGGCCCAATGCAGTGCAGACCTTCAGGATTAGTACCTTTCCAGTGGATGCTTTCATTATTTTCTTTGGCAGTGGCAGGAGGTATAGACAATCTATACGCCACAGGATTGTTCACTTTCACAATTCAAAATTATCAAGAATACTAGGCGGAAGCTTTTACAGCATCATTTTGGAAAAGGCACACAGAATAAATAACACAACAAAATGCCATTTCAAAAGATACACAGCCTTGCAATAAGAGAACAATACCAGCGAAAACCCAAAACCTGAGAATCCAGCCCACACAGCTTTGTTTTGTTCCCTCCATCACATTCTCATGTCACTGAGAAGTTATTGATCTTTTAGTGACACTTGCATCATCAAATCTGCAACACTCAGGGTGTACGGTAGCTGCTTTGGATGAGATGCTAGTGAGATGTGTGTTATAAGATGGGCCACATCCCAAAACCATTTGTCATATATAAAGACTTGTGGCAATTTCTAGGAACTCAGCAAAGCTTCCATTAAAATCAGCTTTCAGTGGGTTAGTGCATTTCAGGCTTAAAAAAGTCAACCCTAATCACAACAAATTTCTCCCTAGAGAGAATACTTAGGATGCCACCTGGAATCTTAGCATCATTGTAACAGAAAAGGAGGCAATTTGAACTGATGATACCACGCCAACTCTCCAAGAACAATTTGGCGAGACTTGCTTTTTCCTTGTAGCAATGCAATTCTTTCCCTTCAGGTGGTTTATCCAATTCCCTATTGAAAGACATGATTGAATCTTCCACTAACACACTTTCAGGCAGTGCATTCCAGATCCTAATCACTTAGTGCATAACAAGGATTTTACTCATGTTGTCTTTGGTTATTTTGCCAAACACTTTAAATCCATGACCTCTGGTTCTCAATGCTTCCATTAATGGGAACAAATTTTCCCATATCAGCTGTGACCAGACCAGTCATGATTTTGAATTTCTCTATCAAATCTCCCCTCAACCCCCTCCTCTCTTCTTGGAGGGGAAAAATCCAAGATTTTCCTGAAAATGACATGGTAAACCCTTTTCACACATCTGATGTGTTCATGTGCTTCTTAAAATGTGTCCAGAATAGGACCAAAAACTCTAGGTAAGAACAATGTTTTATAAAGTTACACCAAAATTTCCTTGTTTTTGTAATTATTACCTCTATTTACATAACTTAGAATGCCTTATGCCTTATTAACTGCCTTCTCAAGTGGCCCTGCCACTTTCAAACAATTTGTGCACCTGTAATTCCAGTTTGGTCTATAATATTGTTATAACAAGGTGTAGAGCTGGA